ATCCATGATCAATGAGATCATCATAGATTTTTTAGCTGATGTTTTGAATTCTGACCAAATGTATCAAAATGCTCATCTAGAAAAATTATAAATAGGGCCTTATCATCTATCTTATGAGTGATCAAGTGTTGGGAAAGCTAAATTATTCTATTGTATTTTTTGAAGATTGTTGACAATAAATCAATAATCACCAATAACAATTGTTATCACCATTGTCAGACTTCCTTCACGGACTATTATTGTTTTATTCTTAATGTCTAATTTAGGGGTGTCAATATTTGGCACGACACGAAAATCCGACCCGGAAAATCCGGGTTGGACCCGACCCGTTTGAAAAACGGGTCAAACGGGTCAGGTTCGGGTTCGCAGATTCGACCTGTTTGAAAAAACGGGTCGGGTTCGGGTTGCCGGATCAACCCAAAAACCTGTTTATTTTAAAAAATTTTGAATTTCCCGTTGCCCGCTGTCCCATGCTGCTGCTCCGCGCCCGCTGCCTCGCCCGCGCCGTCACCCGCTGCCGAACCCGCGTTGCCACCGTGTCGCGCTAGCTGCCGTGCTCGCACTCGAGAAACCCGAGCTCCTTCTCTGCCGTGCGGGTCGGGTCGGGTCAACCAGGCAACCCGTAGGGTCGGCTCCGGGTTCAAATTTCCGACTTGTTTACCTACCCGGGTCGGGTCCGGGTTCAAATTTCTAACCCGTTTGAACCCGGGTCAGTTTCAGGTTCGACCCGAACTCGACCCGTGACCTGAAATCGACACCCCTAGTCTAATCCTACCGTTGAGCTCTAATTGTATGTATATCGACTAATTTTTAACTATGTATAACTCATCTACTTCAATTCTAAAGAAAGGATGATTTTTGTTTCTTTCACTGTTGGTGTGTTCATTCAACTAGGCTAGATCATATAGTTTTTCTCTTTCTTGGTTTTTTTTTTTTTTTTGTTCATGTAAAAAAAAATTAGGGACTCCTAATACATGCAAGTTTATACAAAGTTAATATATTAAACATTATATCGACATAAATTTACTTACACTTAGCAACACAACAACACCAAATCTTTATCTCACTACATGATGTCGACCATCTAAATCATTTTTCTTAATTATGTCATGTTAAGAGTCAAATTTTTATTTAATCTAATAAAAACATCATTTCTAATATTTTTTAACCAAGTCATTATACGTCTACATCTACCATTATTAATATAAGTCAAATCTAAAGCATCTACTTTCCTAATCAAGTCATCAAAAAGTTGTCGTTTTATGTGACCAAACCTTCTAAGGCGACCCTCTCTAATCTTATCTGCCACTGGAGCTATTCTAACCTTTTTACTTTTTTTTTTTAATTTCTAAAATTCTTTATTAAGATTTGATGTTAGTTTCTTCATAATATTTTAAGATTTGACCCTCTCAACATTTTATAAATTGATATAGGCAACAATATGAACGCCCAATGAAATCATATAGCTTTCATATTCACAAAGCCATGCGTCGTAGTTGAACTAACTTCCTTTCTATTTCTTTGCTTAAATTTTGACTAATAGCGCACTTTGAATTGTTTATGCCCCGTGATCAGCCAATTTTATATAGCCGCCGCAGAGAGGACGCATTCAAGACTCATAATAGTGATATATATATATCTATATGTTATTGGTCTCACAAGTTGGAGCTGACCTTTTTGAAGTCGCGTTTGCCGCTATTGAAAAATGGAATGGAGGCTTCGTCAACAGTTAGTTAAGTTTATTTGAAGGCAAGCTGTTTGAAAGAATATTATTTAGGATGATTAATTAGGGTTTGTTCCGGTGAAAGGATGTAGAGCTACGTTCGGCAGACACTAAATCGCGCCACGTAGCAGGCACAAAATCACATATTTGTCGATTTTGCTCGGCAATAACGAGAAATACCATTACGTGAAGATAAATACCGAGCAATACCGAGTAATACCGAGCAACACCGAGCAATAACGAGTTTTTTTCTAGAAAAACTCGGTATTACTCGGTATTGGTCTTCACAGAACTGTATTTCTCGTTGTTGGCAAGCAATACCGAGCAAATAACGGGTAACTCAGTGGTGACCGCACGTAGAGCTACGTCCGGTCACCGGACCTAACAATTGTTCTTGTTTGAGGGGACTTTATTTTTTATAATTTTATTTTAAGAATTTTTTTAGGGTATAATGAGAAAAATTAATGTTCAATTTTTTTTTTAATTGTTATATTCACATCAGTGATTAGATTTTTTTTTCACGACTATTTTTTGAGATAGTTGGAATCAGCTAATATATGTTATTACTTGTATAATTATTATTGAGGGATGAAATTTTGTAAAGTAATATAGTTTTTTGTCCTATTTTTGCAAGAAAAGTGAGCACTCAAACAGATAAATAAAATGATGATGAGTGACATAATCACGTTTATGTGAATTATTGGGAAAGGCGAAAACTCACGAGGCCATGTGTGCGTTGATACGAAGGTTTGCCTGTCATTTAATTGTGAGACGACAATATCACAAGAGTTTAGGCATTAGGGAGCTAATAGAAAATATCATAGTGGTGGCATGAGGTTAAGGGCATTCAAATGGTTATGCTCAAGTGATAATGATTTAGCAATATTGGTTATTTTGCGGCAACTTAATACCAGCGATAACTTAGTTCTAGTCTGACGGTCGTGATCCAATGATGGCAATGGTTACACAAAAGTGGACAAGTGGCGGGGGACCAACAATAATGCTTGAGTGATGGAAACCAAACATTGGTGGTCTAATGATAGTCATGATCTCATAACGTTGGTCAAATAGTAATGCTTTAATGGCTATGACCAGATGGCAATCCATTGGTTGTGACCAGGTCGTAGAAGTCCAACGAGAGTGGTTAGGTGATAGAGGTCTAACGATGGTGGTCCAATGGTGGTGGTCTGATAGCAGCAGTCATGTGACTGTCTGACGATGACGGCGCTTGGGTGGAGCTTCGAAATTCTTCAAGCTTTTGAACTATCTTAAATCTCATGCCAAGGGTCTTGTTCATATAGATAGGGGGTTAGTTATGGGTATTTGAGATTTGCATATCCCATAAATATATATAAAATATGAAACACTCAATTAAACAGCCTACATTGATTCAATTGATTTTATATTATTAATTTAGTATTTACTATTTATGTATCTCAATATTTTCAAAAGTAAAAGATATTTGGCTCATTGGATTTGTCTCATCGAGCGCTCAATTTTATTATAAACATGTTAAATTTAGAGATCATTTGGTTCTTCAATTAATATCCCAAATTTCTCAATTATACTTCAAGCTCTTAATTTGGGCTTGTTGGGTCCTGGAATATTCACGGCAATGGAGAGTAATATTGTTTAGCGTCTTAGTTTTATACGAAGATCCGACACACAAACATATAAGAGAGTATGGTTATTTGTGTCCTGGAATATTCGCGATTGTGGGGAGTGATATAGTTTAGCGTATTAGCTTTGTACGAAGACCCGGTACTTAAACAGATAAAAGAGTACATTTATAGCGTTTATAAATTAAAGACACCATAATTTTTACATGGAAATCCTTGAAAAAGAGAAAAATCATGAGGCTTGGCCCAGTTTGAATGAATCCACTAGTTTTTGTAATTTATTATAAATGAGGTCCTTCCTTAGGATGAAGGTCTTGGCTCGATGTAGCAAAAATATATCATATAAAATGCATTATATGGTGGGAGTTGGAAGAATCAATGTTGATATGTTCAACTTTAGCAAACACTAGTAGAATTCTTTTAATTGGGCGTGACTCCATGGTTTTTCCCTCTTTTCAGGAGTTTTCCACGTAAAATTTATAGTGTTCTTTCATCTTCTATTTGTATGTTGGATATCCGTACAATACCAAGATGAAAATTTTCTAATTCTATCATCGCATATATTTTAGCCCGCAACAAGAATAATATAATTCACATAAATAACACAAAATAACAGTAATAATTTTTTTTTAGTATACTGCCCCCACAACTAATTTAAAATTTACACGTTCTTCTTCTTAAAATTTTCTCTATTAGAATTTGATGATTATAAAAAACCTTTCGTAGAAAAAAAATTATAATACGGCAACAATATTTCAAAAGTCCATTTTTTCCAACTATATTTATAGACTTCTGCAGCTTCGCTTATCCACTTTTTTTACCGCCACGTGTCCACATCCATCTTCAACCCTTTGCCTCGTCACTGCCTGGAAATTCTTAAAATCTGGAGAAGAATATCAGCGTAACTGACATTTTTCTTACTAATATTATCTTCATAAATTAGCTCAACTATCACTCTGTTTTTTCCATCAAATACCCACATAAAATAATTAAATAACAAATATATATTCTTTTTTTTTATCTTAAATATAACAAATATATATTCATAAAGTCATATATCCTAAATGAAAGATTGTAAGAAATTAATATGTAGACTTGTAATTTATTGTAATATATATTCAATTAAGAGGAAATTAATATGTGCAGATGCCAAACATCGTATGTAGACCAATCAGAATGAGCAACGTCGGTGCCGCTCGGTACTATTGTTGTGACTCTTTCGGATTGGTCTTAGGATGTAGAGCTGCTTTTCGCATCCGTATAAAATAATCTCTTTATTGGAAGGGTTGTAATTTTTTGTAAATGTGATTATAAAATTATTGTGAAGAAAGTAATATTTTAAATGTTGATATGAAAGCAATTTTTTAGCAAAAAAAAAAATTAAAGTAATAATCAAACAAAAATTATGATTATGGTCTAAAAATAAAGTTGTTAGAAAACATACCTTGAATTAATTTTTCTAAAAAATTATGGTAGCTATTAAATAAAATTAACATATTGATGAATGCTTCAAAGTATCTTTTTATCAAATAAAAAAATTGCATTTCTAAGAAGTTTTTGCTGCAAAATGTAAAATTATGTTCCCCCCTTTCTATATGTTCATGATTGCTAGCTAGTAATGTAAAAAATATTGTTTTTTTTCAGCCCGTTATGTAGAAATATTTTAATTATGTATCATCTTTAAACCATATATAATAAACAAAACATAATATTGATACCTACCGCTAATTAAATACATTTTACAGCTAAAAAATCATAATTAATAATAAAACAAGTCCCAATCTGCAACTTTTTGCATCTCCCACTGAGTCAATTTTAACGACCCGACATCAACCCGATAAGCCACAGCAGTCAGCAACCTTCCCCTTCCCTCCAGCCGAGATAAACAACACTGGCCAGATAATGCGAGTAAGCCCCCGCAACCACCAACACATGAAACAACTGATGGCTATGTCCGGCAAGATCAAATTTTCCCGGCAGCCACCGCTCCGGCACTCTCATAGCATAGACCAAAACACCGATCCCATAAGACATCGCCATCACCGCTTCGTATTGCGTCGTCAACACCGCCTCCGGCCGGTGACCAAAAGTTATCATCTTGTGCGCGATGGGAATGATCCCTGACGCCGCCATGCAGGCAAATAAAACGGCTCTGACTGGTCGGAATTGCGGGGAGTCGAAGACAGGCACAAGCGAGACGACGACGGCGGCGAGGCCGAAGGCCGTGATGGAACAGAGGTAGACGTTTCGGAAGAAGGGGTGGCAGGTGAAGGTGTAGTAGACGAGTGGGTAGAAGGAGGAGACGATGAGACCAGAGATCCCAGCGAAGTCGAGGCGGAGCATTATGTAGCTTGTTTTGGAACAGTGGCAGGAGAGGAGGTGGCAGGCGCTGCTCATTAGAAGACAGAACATGGCGCCGGCGAGGTAGAGGTAGAAAGGCCAGCGCGAGAAAAGCTGCGGCCTTTGGAGGTCGACGGTGATGAACAGGTCTGGGAAGCTGGTGAAGGTGTTTGATGAATTTCCTGAACGAAGGTGAAGCGTGGAGTAGTTGTTGCTGTTTGTGGCGGATGGGAAGATGGAGGCGGCGTAGCCGGTGAGGATGACGAAGATGAAGAAACCAATTAGATGCCTGTAAATAAAATTTAATTTTGTCAGTAAATCCTGATAACTGTTAGACATGCCAAAGGCCATTAATTCTGAGAAAAGCTCGCGCCCTTACGTCCAGATATTGAGCGTCTCGTTGTGAATGGAGAATAAGCTGAGAATTGTTTCTTTGAGAGGCCATTCTGAGCGATAGTAGTTGAGGATGAACTCGTTGTGTTTCAGGAATTCCGGAAGAGAATCGTAGTCCACGAGACCCAAAGTTGGCTCCTTGATTGATCTGGTCGCCTCGTTTTCATAAGAAACAGTTTTGGTCTCGCGAGGGGATATGAGAAATTGCATGGCGTCACTGGAGAAGGACGAAGAGCTCTGCAACCGAGCATTACAGGCCATTGTTGATGCTTCGAAGCACATATTTCTTCTACCTGACTCTGATTCTCTGTGCGTAAGTGAGAGACGAGAGATTTTCTACCGCCTGCTCTTTCTCGATTGCAGAATAGATTGAAAGAAGAGGGTATATATAAGACTTAGCTCCTAAACAATTAATCAATAATAAAAAAAAGAAATTAGTTCCGTCAACTAAATATTTGTTCTTATACGGGAAAAGACGGTGATTGCTCTGAAGTGGACGGCTTCTTCGCCGTGTGGTTGACAATGTTACAGGTGGGAAAGCGATTAATAAAGAGTTGTGGTTGAGCGATTTTTTTTTCATTTTTTTATTTATTTTATTCATTATACCGACAAGTAACGCAATCTTGCAGCAAAATGTGACCATTCAGTTTGTTAGAAAATATATAATTTCTATATGGGATGGTGGTTTTTAGGTGGGTTTGAATCTAATTTGCAATTGATTAATATTTTGCTCTGTTTATCCAAATAATTATAAAATTAACATAGTTTCTGTTAAAATAGAGATCATTAAATCAAAGAAAAAAAATTATTGAGACTTGTTTGGAATCGTCTTCTTATTATTTTCTAAAATAAATTTTCATAAAATTTGGTTAAATTTAAAAAAAAAATTATATAAAAAAAAAACAGTAAGAAAGTTATCTTAAACTTAGTCTGGAACCATTTTCTTACTGCTTCTTAAAACAATTTTATAATAAAAAAGTTAAATATGTAAACTAATAAAAATGTTGTCTCAAACTAGTTATCTTAAACTTAGTCTGGAACCATTTTCTTACTGATTCTTAAAATAATTTTATAATAAAAAAGTTAAATATGTAAACTAATAAGCTACTTTAAAAAATAGTAAAAATGTTGTCTCAAACTAAAGCTTCATTTGGGAAACCTTTCTTATTGATTCTTAAAGTTATTTTTAGTTAAAAAATTAAAAAATTTGTATTAAAAAGCTACTTTTAGAAATTGTAAAAAAGCCGTCCCAAACGAAGCCCAAGATCTAATACAAAATTTTTATTTGAAAATTTTTTGTACTAAAAAACTATTTTAGAAAACAGAAAAAAAATTATTCCAAACTAAAGCTTCGTTTGGGACAGCTTTCTTATTGCTTATTAAAGTAGCTTTCTAGTGTAAAAATTTAGAAATCTACTTTAAAAAATAGTAAAAAAAAAAACATCTAAAACTAAGCCTAATGCTTCATTTGGGATGGCTTTCTTTCTGCTTCTTAAAGCAATTTTTTAGTTAAAAATTTAAATTATTTATACTAAAAAAATTGCTTTAAAAAACAATGATTAAGTCATCAGAAACGAAGCCTAAGTCTCTATCTAAACATTTAAAGCTAGTTGAAGGGATAGGATCGATGCTTCAATTGATACAGTGTGGCTAAGATGATAACTGCAATGGATATTTGTGACTGTTAAAACTCCATATCTCAAATCCAGATTGTCACATCAGTTTGCTTTGCTCTTTAATTGAGTACTCTTTCGCTCTCTCCTATTTAATGGCATCATCAGATTAGATATGCGCTGAATACACATATCAAAAAGGAGCATTATTTATCATTATTCTTGCATGACACATGACCCAAGCATTAGAACTTAGAAGCCTAATTCAGTCCATCCGGCTCATTTCAATTATATTTCTTTCATAATCTCATATATTAATTAAGGGTTTATTTGAAAAATCTGTAGTTATAGTATTTTTTTTAAATCTATCATATATGAGCAACTCTATTGTAAAAATAGTTTCTTAACATAAATTTTTTTCGAAAGTAATAAGAAAGTAATAGCAAAATGGAATCACAGTTGTAGTCTGAAAAATAAAATAGTGAGAAATTTTTCTCAAATAGATCTTAATTCAAACAAGATTTCAATATGGCTCGAATCTTCTTTCTTATGTGCTCCTCCCCTCTATGGCTCTATGATGCTTTCCTAGTGAGTACATTTCAAACCATGTCCCCAAGATCCCATCTAACAAGCATCCGCTTATCCATCCACATCTTTTTGATATTTAAATTCCTTAGAAAGCTCCAATCATGAAAGCTTCTTCCCGACACGCTCTAAATCATGTCGACGATCCCTCCCATTGAAATATAGTTTCTTAGTGGTGGCCCTATTATCCAACTCTAGCAAGCTTCGTCGGTCGAATCAGAAGCCCACATCTTTCCTCACACATCACTTTTCATGTCAACAAGCCTTATCATCCTGAAATCATAATATAAGTAGTGATTTTATGATTCATGTTGTGTCTTGGAATATTCACGACGGTAGAGAATAATATAGTTTATTGTCTAAGTTTTGTATGAAAATCCAGCACACAAACAGATAAAATAGTGTGGTTATAGTGTTTATAAAATACACTAAATTTTACATGAAAACCATTGAAAAAGAGAAAAAACCACGGTGTTTGCAATTGATTGCAACTAACGCCCTTCCTTAGGAGGAAGGTCTTAGCTTGATGTAGCAAATATACATCAGATAGAGAGAGCATTGTATGGTGAGAGCTAGAAGAATCAATGTTGATATATTCGTTTGGGTGGCAAGACCACAATCTGTGAGCGATGTATGTTGGAAGGGCCGTAGTCGAATGACAGCGGCTGGAAGGACTGTAATCAGACGACGGTGGTCAGAAGAACCGTAGTCGGCGGGTGACGGTGGCTGGAAGGATCGTAGTCGGCAGGATATGAAGGTCAAAAGGACTGTAGATGACAATGGTGGTTGGAAGGATCGTAGTTGGTTGGAAGGATCGTAGTTGGCGGGCGACGGAGATCGGAAGGATCATAGTTGGACGACAGTAATTGGAATGATCATAGTCGACGGACAACGATGGTAGGAAGAACCATAGGTGATCGACGAACTGGTGAAAGTCCGACGAGGGTCGAGAAGAACTCTGACAGCGGTCGACGAACGGATGGAAGTCTGGCGGTGGTCGACGAATAGGCAGAAGTCCGACGATGGTTAGCAGCAAGCAAGCACCCAAATTCTTCCATTCTCTTCGTCCTTTTTTTTCCTCATCTTCATGTGAAGAATGGGGACCTATTTTTAATTTTTTTAGAGTGACATGGCTTTTAAATATGGGGAGGATCAAAGCCAAAATGAGAGTGGTTTGAATGGACGGCTAATACTGATTCCTTTGATCGTGGATATTTTATTCATCATTTGGATGTCTTAATGATATCAAAATTTGGCGATCTTGAGCTCATTAGATTTGTCTCGTCGAGCCGCCGCTTGATTCGATTATAAGCATGCCACGTTTAGAATTTGTTTGGTAATCCAAATTATGCTTTGAACCCTCCAAAAATGCTTTGAGTCTTCACTTTGGACCCACTCGGGCTCAAATTGAGTCAACTTTGATGTTATTGGGTTTGTCTTTTCGAGGCGTTTAGTTCGACTATAAGCTTAATGAAGTAGAAATTATGATGGTCCCAAAATTATTTTTTTTGGAGCATCCAATTCATATTTGCATTGAGATTCGTTCGTGTCCGATCAAGTCTATTTTTGATGATGTATCAATTCCCCCTATTTTCGAATGCTGAAGTTTGCAAAGTCCGAAAGAATATATTAGTCTTTCAAATGAAATTATCACATCAAATATAGCATATATAAAAAATATGATTATCGAACAACGAACAATAATGCGGCCTCACATTAATTATGAAGATATTTACATACATATCTCATTAATACTACATTAATACTACACATTAATACTACATTAATATTACATTGATATTTGTGAGTTTTCCGAGAATCAATATTAACGTTTAATATTGATCAATGTAAATATCTGTTGATAAAGATCAACATTATAAGTCAGCGATTAAACGTTAATATTTTACTTATAATTTTAAAAAAATAAAGTTTCCAAAATATTGATTAAACGTTAATAAATATTGATTTACAATTAACATTTAATCAATATTTTGAAAACTTTATATCTTTAAGATTATAAATAAAATATTAACATTTATTAATCAGATACTTAAACACAATGCTTTTAAAATCGGACCGGATCGGTCGGTACAACCAGTTGAACCGCGAACCGGCCGGTTACAGTTCAGCATATAATCAGTTTCACGAATCCAGAAGAGTAGAAGACAACAAGACAACAACGTCTCCTGCTATCTATTCGTTCGCGAAGCGAGAAGCCAATGGCCAAACACTGTTTTGGCGTCTCCTGCTCCAGGTTTGTTTCTAGAGTTTTGTTTTTATTTTTTTGTTTTTTTTTTTGTTTTTTTTCAAAATTTACAGATTTCATTTGCTCTGTTCTCTTTTTTTTTTTTTTTTTCTTTTCTTATGATAGTGCTATTTTTTCAAAATCCAAGTTTTCCTTTGCTTTTTGTATCATGCTCATCTCCGTTAGCAACAGCAGCTACTAGTGTTGAGAGAATGAAATTGGCGAAGAAGAGAAAGATGAGGAAGATGATCAACAGTGAAATGTATTATCCTTGAAATCTTATTACAGAGTACATGACATATATAAAGGCAGAGAAAGCAACAGTAACACCAAGAAAGTACAAGATGACGTGGAAAGTAATAAAACTGCCTAAACCCTATTGGCTATCTTAACAGCGCCCCTCAAGCTAACCGTTGGGACACCTAATGGTTAGCTTGGATCTCAATGCCTGAAAACGAGCTATCGGAAGAGATTTGGTTAGGATATCTGCAATTTGATCCTCGGAGCAGATATGAGCTATGGATACATGTCCCTTCCGTATGTGATCGCTAATGAAGTGATAATCCAGTTCAATGTGCTTTGTTCTAGCATGGAAAACAGGATTTTTAGCAAGCGCAATCGTAGAGGTATTGTCGCAATGAATGACCGTCGGAGTACTTTGCGAGATGCCTAGTTTGTCGGCCAGCCGACGAATCCACATGATATCAGATGTGGCGGAGGAGAGTGATCTATACTCGGCTTCTGTAGATGAGCGCGCGACGGTTGTTTGCTTCTTTACTGACCACGAGATGAGATTGTGGCCGAGATACGTGCAATAGCCGGACATGGATTTCCGGTCGGTGGTATTGGCCGCCCAATCAGCGTCCGTGTACGAGCTGAGTTGCATTGGCCCCTGAATGATAGGTAAGCC